CCCCGAACCTTTTTTTTTTTTTTTTTGCAATCGATAAACAGTGATTCCCTTTTTCCTTTTTTGTAATTTTTTCAAATTCGATTTTTTTTTTCGACGAAATTTTATTCGAAACATCGACGAATATATATATTTTTTTCTTCCTTTTGGTTTTTGTTTGGCGATTTGTGGTTGATGATCGATAAAAAAACAACGAAGCGATCTATAAATACATTACGAGGCGTAAGCTCTGATACGGACAACATTGCAACGAACGACAGAATACGAAGCGAAATTAAACGATGAAAAGTAAGTTTGATTAAATTGTTTGAAGAAACCAACGAAAAGTGAAAGAGTATAGAATAGAAGAAACAGAGAAAGAGAGAGAGAGAGAGAGAGAGAGAGAAACAGAGATATAGATAAATTTATTAAAAATTTTGTTTCGCGAGCAAAGAAAATTTCGAGAGAGAAAAAAAAATTTAATGTTCGTGTATCATATGCAACGTAAATAAAAATTAATTGTATTATAGTAAATAATTACTGACAACAAAAAGATATGAAAAGATAAAAGAAGAAAAGACGGGAAAAAAGTAATAAAGAAGAGAGAGAAATAATAAAGGAGCGCGAAAAAAATTAAAAGTGCGGAGCTTTATATATCGGAGTTATATATAAACTGGAACACGCGCGAAAATTTCTCGAGGAACATATGCTTTTCTCGAGGTTGAACAAAGCGCAACGAGATTCTTATTAGAAGTAATAAAAAGGAAAAATAGAAAGAGAGAGAAAGAGAGAAGAGAGAGAGAGAAAAAAGAAGAAAAATATATAATACGAGAGAGAGAGAGAGAGAGAAAGAGCTAGAGCTCTAAGCGCGCTCGGCAGTGTATTCACAATCGCAATGAATTTATATGTCCATAAACTTAAAGATACGAGACTACAAGGAACTTCCGGAAAATGGCCCGAACTTCTTGATTTCGTTCTTCCGTTTTTTTTTGGAACACGCGCGGCGCTACTATCGCTTGCGGGTGTCTGGAAGCCTTTTGGAAGCAGAAATCATGATTTAGATTTAGAGTACATACGTGTTTCTCGATGCTCGATTTTACTGGATCACAAAAATAACATTAATATTAGTTATGATTATATGTATACCATTATGTATTATTTCGTTCAATTTCTAAAGTTGTTCTAAAGCATTGTAAAAAGTGAATTACTATAAATTAGCACCAATAATTTATCTTTTCAATTGTGTAAAATTAGAAATTTCTTCAAATATTTTATATTATTGTGTTTATTGTTATCAGTTATTGATTGAAAATTTTGTTATTATTCCAAATATGCATTGTTTTGCAATATTTATTAATTGAGAATTAAAATCTTTTTTTTTAATTTTCTTTAAATTTCAATTTTCTCAAAACTGTACGAAGAAAAGTATTCTTCTTCCTTTGAGATATTATAACGACACTTAAGAACATTTAAATCTCACTACATCTAAATTAAATTAAATATTTCCGAAATCTCTCCGAAATTTGTATTAAAAAATACGGTACATATATTAAATGTTATATTAAAAGCATTGAAAAAAAAATCTAGAAAAATAAAAAATCTGTCTACAAAAAGCAAGAAACGCTCTATAACAAACGGCAATTAATCAGCGTAATTCGAAACGAAATAAAACAATTCATAAATATTCTATGTATATTCTATGTAAAACATCAATTTATCAAACTAAGAAAAAAAAAAAAAACCATTCCGGTAATCTATCGGATAATTCCGTCACGAATATTTCGTAAAAAACTCAAAAATAAAGCTATTTAAGGTGCTAATTCACAGTTACTCACCCTTCGTGACGCATTTGGTTTCCAACCAATTGTCCATCAGAAAGCAATATGGGTGCCAGTACATTTGAGAATAGAACTCTGAAAAGTCGTTCACGAGAATTGTTCCTGAGAATATTTCTCACGAATGTCACATTTCATCGCAACGGTGACACTTTTTCTCGATTCAATGTCCACTCGTGAGAAATAATAATAATAATAATAACAATAATAATAAAAAATTAATCTTCACTCTTAAATGCAATCGCACCCTAATAATATATAATTAATACACAAAGAAAAAGAAGAGAAAGAATAAAAAAAAAAAAAAAAAAGAAAGAAAAATGGAACGAAAATAGTTCGGGCCAATTTCGCGGAATTCAGCTACGAAAAAAAAGGAAAGTGTACTTCATGCATAAGCCGTGGTACCATTAGCAGATCATCATTGGAGTCGCGCATCCGCTTCTTGCCGAGTTCGATGCTTGCCATACTGGCGCTCTGAAGTCCTCCGGGAACCGCAGTTGCCGGCACTCCTGACACTCCGCCAGCCAACGCGCCCATTCCCGCTACGTTCGTCGGCATAGTCGCCGTCTGCTTTTTCATTTTTAGTTTTTTTTTTTCTTTTTTTTTTTTTTTTTTTTTTTTTTTGTTTTTTATTTCCGTGTTTTGCGTGTGTGTATTTTCGATCGACCAAATTTCCCCGTCAATCCATCATTTTTTTTTTTCCCCAATATATTTTTTTTTTTTTTTGTTTTTTTTAAAAATTTTTTTTTTTTTTTTTTTTTTTTTTTCAGTTTCGTGCCCCATAGAGAAAGATTACCATAGGCACGCCGACCAGAAATTATTTCGTCATAGAGTAGACGTTTCCAAGTTTCCAAGTGTTGTTTCGTTGATGTGAATTGTAACAATTATACAGTTGTGCAGTGTATTTTTCCAATTGTATTATTATTATTATTATTTTTTTTTTTTTTGTTTTCCATTCGTTGCATTCGGCGTTATATAGTCATAATAGGTGGTTTAATATTTTTTTTTTTTTCCCCCGGGGAATTTTCAGGTTATCCAGGGCGCACAGAAGGGGGAGATTTTTCGGTCGGCATAATTTTTCGCAGGCGTTAATTGGCAGGTAGCGAAGCGCACGAAGGTATATTTTTGTCAGCAAGCATGAAGAAGCATCGTCAGGCGGAAGAGGGCAAGATAAAAATCAAAAAAAGAAAAACAGACCAGTTGAGGCTAAAGGCAAGAAACGACAGTATCGCGTATATATAATAATAATAATATAATATATATAATAAAATGTCCAAGTTAATCGTAAAACAACGTAATTTAATTATCCTCATTATCTATATGCATAATTTATGTACAACTTAATTCAAAGCTATATATATATATATATAGCTTTTTATATATATATATATGTATACCAAAAGAAAACAAACATGATACATTATACGTATACGTAATATGTACATCTACCACCATTAATGAAGATATACATATGAATACACGTGTTTATATGTTTGACGGTCGAACAGCTCGTAAAACGACACGTGTAAATTAATGCGCAGACGCGACACGCTTCTCGGGTTGCTCTCAAGCGGCGCTCAAGCCTGACGCGTGTACTTAATTGCCTTGCATCCGTTCTACCGCGATTTGATCGCCCATTCTTTCCCGCGATCTCTCGTTTTTTTATAATGGAAACATCGACGTGGAAACCCGGGAGGAAGGGTGTCGAGTCGCGATTGCGCGCCAACAATCACACGTTTTTTTTCTTTTTTCTCTTTTTTCTCTTTTTTTCTTT